AGTTTTTTTCCTTTACCTTCTTCTTCTAATTCAATACTGGACTGATTCATATCTAACTTTATCTAATAGACCACCAGAAGTCATTATTTTTTAATTCATTTGGAGTACATCTTTTTGATCCTATATCAACTGAATTATCTTCTGATGGCACGTATCTAAATTTTATCCTCAAATCTTTTATTCTCTTAACCCGATTATTTATGAATCTTTGTTTTTTCGAGATTTGTCAATTGTAGCCAATACAGAACACATTTTGAGTCAGTCCATGCTGTCAATATTGTTTTTTCTAACTTTAATTGTTCTTTCACACGTTTTATTATTTTTCCTTCTACCTCTGCTGCTAATATTCAGTTTCAGGTATTGTCATGGGTTTAATAGGCATTAATCTACTCTTTGCATATATAATACCAGAATATATAGTGTTTTCCACTCTTAACGTTGCATACACTATAGCTGCATATCCATTTTTAGAAGCATCAATAAATACATGTAAGTCCCAATTTCTATCTGGTAGAACTTGTCTATCAAGTATTAACTGGGCGAATTTGAAAGATTCTACTAGTCTATTCCATCTTTTCATTAGGCTTGACCCTAACAACTCATCTCATTTATAAGTTTGTTCCCATAATTTTTGACAAAATTTTCTCAATAGTAAAGTAGTAGAACTTATTAACCCCAATGAGTCAGATTGACTAGCCATGAACGATAAAATATTTCTTTTAGTACCTGGTTGCCCTTTCCAGGATTAAAATTTTATTTTTATAATATCAGTGTGTGTCGTAACTTATAATTCTGATTAGCCGCGTCTTAACTACAACACCTTCAAATATTTTATTTTTAAAGATTTTATTAAAATTTGAAACAACAATGATTATATGGAGTGTGCAGAAGTGAGCGTATGAATATGAGAGAGAAAAAAGACCAAGATGATCAAAAAGAAACGAGGGTTGAGAGAAAAATAGACAATGATTTAAGAGAATATTAACAAGGCAACGTAAAACTTAAAGAACACCAAACA